AATTAATGCCTATAGTTGTTGTCAGGGATACATTTTTGGCTCTGCCGCTGTTTGGTAAGGTATTAAAGGGAGACATATCAATAAAATTTTGAACAGACAAAACAGACCAATCCAAATTCAGATACGGAAATCTGTTGTTACAGGAAATGGTAAAATAAAGTGTCGTTGGAGGCTCTACCACTGGTCGGGCTATTCAATTGGCAGCCAAGATTCAGGGGACCCCAGGGGCACCAGCCCCAGCTGAAAGCCGATTGGTCCCCGGAGCGCCCCCCTCCCCTGTCACTCACCAATTTAAACCATATCATTGGCTAATGATAAGGTTAGTCCCTCTAAATAAATTTCGGCCCCACGTGTGCCCTCCAACCTTACAAGAATCACCCTGGGTACCAGAAAAACTTTAAACATCCTTTTCTGTCTAGTACCTTCTCATCCAGGGTCTAGGGCAGGGTTATTCAACTCACGGTCCTCGAGGTCCGAGCACTGCTGGTTTTCCAGCCTTCCTTTACCTGTCAGTCAGGTGTGAAACTTCTGACCAATCAGAATCAGTAATTATTAAACTAACTACCTGGGAGAACTGAAAACATGGCCTGGATTTGGAATCGAGGTCCAGAGTTGAACACATGCCCTAAGACAGGGTTCCCCAGTTCCTCTCCTGGAGGGCCTGAATCTAGCACAGTTTGTAGGTTTCCCTGCTCAAACACACATGCATACAGGCACACACACGCATGCACGCACACACATGCATGCACGCGCACACACACGCATGCATGCTTCTAATTTTCACATGGGAACTGTCATCTTAATGTAGTACAAGATTCCTAACTCTACCCTGAACTGGGGGAAAAAAAACATGAAAAACCTTTTAACCACAAACTGAGGGGTGGGGGTTAGGGTCCAGGGCACATGCACACCCACAAACTACAGGCAACTTAGGGATGCTGATTAGCCTGAACACATGGCTCTGCATGGCAGGATGAAATCTGCACAACACAAGGAGAACATGCACAAAAACACAGAGGCAGGATTCGAACCTTGGAGATGTGAGGCCACAGTGCTGCCCAAAACATGAAGAGGAGGTGGAATTCAAACCCCCATCTTGGATATGTGAGGCCACATTGCTAGCCAAACACATAGAGGACGCGGGATTCGAACCCCCAATCCTGGAGATGTTTGGCCTCAGTGCTAGCCAAACAAGCAGAGGAGGCAGGATTCGAACCCCCACCTTGGAGGTGTGAGGCCACAGTGCTAGCCAAACACACAGAGGGGGTGGGATTTGAACCCCCAAACCTGGAGATGTTTGGCCTCAGTGCTACCCAAACACACAGAGGAGGCGGGATTCGAACCCCCACCTTGGAGGTGTGAGGCCACAGTGCTAGCCAAACACACAGAGGAGGCGGGATTCGAACCCCCAAAGCTGAAGCCACAGTGCTAGCCAAAACAAACCAATCTTTCTTTCTAAGCCTAAATAATATTTAAGACGCGCATATCACCTCATCCCTTAGTTCTATTACCCACCATTTATTGTTCTTATGTAGACGAGTCATTTGAAAGCCCCCTGATTAAGGGCAATTTAGAGGCACAAAGTGAAGAGGTATAGATGCCTCATAATTTTATGAGCTATTTGCTTAATAACTATTTATACATTAAACAACTAATGATGATAGGTGATTCAACACAGTCAAAGTGGTTTAACTGTAAGAAGCTCTAACTGCAGGACTGGGGTGGTGAATTTCAGTCACCCAATGAGCACTGCCCATCACAAACTGGAATCCTCTTGCTATGTCGGTGCCCTCTCAGAAGGTGGCGCTCTAAGCAGCCGCCAACTTCGTTGGCCCGAAAGGTTCACTGTCACTGCCCCCCACCCCTCCAGACCCGCCTGCCCCCTCGATGGCCAAATTCCCTGCTTCAGATTTCCTCAGACAGTCTGATGGCTTCTCTCTCCACACGATTCAAAAAATATTTATTTCAGGCCCCCGCCGCCCAGATGTGGACCGCTGCCAAAGCGACGGTGGCCCCCACATCCCCCAGCATGCATCTCATCTCGAGACATCCGCCATAAAACCGGCCTCCTTAAATCCAACTTCCTGTCAACATTGATTAGCCGAATACACCCGGCTTGGTTTCAATTACATGATCGCTTTGGCTCACTGAGCTGAAATGTATTTATTTCCACGTGCGAGCAATAAAGGCAGCGACACATGGGCTGCAGTATGGTTTGGATTTTGGATGTTTATGTAATCTTTTGAAACACACCATTATAATCCAGCGTAAATCGAAGGTCTCCAGTGAGTTTATGCAGAGCTGAAGTGTAAATATAATACAGTATATTTTTCAGGTTTGTTTTCCCCAACGACCCCTATTGCTCACGAATCCGGCTTTTCTATCGACAAATATCTGCAGATTTAGTTAAATCTTACAGAAAAGTGATTTTACAGTAAAGCTTCAATTCAATTATTCAAATTAACCTGTCATATTTGGTTTGAATAAACGTACAGACCTTTTTTTCTGCTATGAATAAAAAATTTTAAAAGGCAGGAGACGTTTTGTAAACACAGAGCGCCATATTCGTTTCAGAGCGGGTCCTGTTCACTCAACCGCTTTCAAAACTCGAGGATAAAAGCTGCCCATTCTGAGGACTACTCTCAGAGACACACTTTCAGGACCACCACCCCCCGGTTTATTTCGCATTATCTTTTAATCTGCCACCAGCAAAGCACAAATCACACAGTTATTC